GAGGCCTCGGTAAAACAATGGAACAAATGCCTCGAATGTGATGGAGACTATTTAGAAGTGTAACTAAGTAGAGGAATTTATAGGCTAACTGCTATGTATACTCATTGTTTCCATAATCAAACATCCTACATCTCAACAGGCATTTTTTTTGTGTGTATATATATTTTACACACACACAGCTAGGATACATTGTAGAAGCCAGCACAGCTGCTAGAGTGTATTCCAGCATCTTCTGAGTTCCTGTATCAGCTCCCCTCATCCAGAGAATGCCTAGTATTCATTGATAAAAATACTGGGCGTCCTCTAAATAGCTGCTATACTCCATGAACAATCCTTTAGATTTTAAGAGCACAAGGAAGTCGCTCAAGAAGCTGTAGCAGGGGCCTGAAAGTTGCCATCATACACTGTAGTACCGGCGGCTACTACAGTGTATTACTGGACCCCTGTGGGCCTGCCAGGGATCACATATACATTTACATAGTGCCAAGCTGGACCAATCTGAACTATATATTTAAAGCTGGAGTATTGCTTTAACATATGCCCAGCCTCGTCAAACTTTTGGGTTTCTTTTTAATTTTAAATGCAGTAGGACTTTGTTTGTTTTGAATCTAGGAGCCAGCTAAAAAAAAGTTAGGAGCCATTTTTTAAACAAACAAAGCTTTATTGTTAATGAGTTGTAATTTTCAACTCATTTTAATTGGCGCATGGACATGTGTAGCGCAATTGTCATTTTCGTATGCAGGTGCACCCCACTTGCATTTCTATTAGTATGCGCAAGTTCGTGGGGGCAGGGGACTTTTTTTGGGTGACATTAGGGGGTCTATTAGACCCCTAGTGTTACCTTTCCACTTCAATAGCATTAGCTGGGGAATGACAGTGGCTGGGAGCAATAGCCAGCCTATTATTGCAATGGCCAACAGCAGGCTGTGTATTGCACCCACCCACTGCTGTCAATCAGCAGAGGAGAGACCTGAAGGAGAAAGTTCTCCTTCAGGTCCACTTCTCTGCAGATTGACAGAAGACAGTGGGCCAGGACACAATTTCTAGTCATCATGGTGACCTGGGATTTGTAGAGTCCTGCATTAGCGAAGGATTAGAACTCCTGTCCGCTTTTTACCACTATCCAGGCCTCTAGAGAGATTTTACCTCACAGCAACAAAGATTTCACCAGACAGGAAATTCTGTAATAAGAACACAGCAATAAAACTGACTAGGGTTTAAACCTTCCCTGCTAATTTCTCTGTGTAGGTGGAGATTATTTACCACTTCCTGTTTAGTGAAACCATTGTCAGCAGAACAATAAATAGAAAGTCACTAAAAGAGCCCTGGATTGCAGTAAAACCCAACAGGGGCGGCGATTAATTTTGTTAGGATGCATACACATCTCTAAATTACAAATTATATATATA